CAGGACCATTACAAGCGTTCATCCCCCACATTGGAGGCCAGGAAGTCCGTACTACTCCTTGCAGCTAGGTTGAAGGTTGCATTCGAGGATCTTGGTGTTGACATTGTTGACATCAATCAAGGATTCCAAACATGGCTCACATTTACTGCGTCTTCGTTGATTTCAAATGCATCGTTGGCGTATGGGGAGCACTTGATGAAATCTCTATCTCACATGGGAGGAGTCAGAATTTCGAAGAGGCAAGCTCTGGAAATTTTCCGGAACGGACGCGGCAAGCAATTCAGCATATATCGAGAAAGAGTTTTCGATGATGTTGCAAAGAAGTGGCTTTTGATCTATAGAGTCACAAAGGATTGCGGAAATGTCGCATACAAAGACTTCTTCGAGAAGGTTGCCGTTCCCGAGGTGAAGGAGAGGAACGAGATTTTTGGATTCTCCCGTGCATCTGCCGAGAAAACTGGAGATATCATCGAGTTCTGGCTTGGTGTCTTGGACGTGGCCAATATGGCCAAGGGAGTCGTAGATGTTTTCAATGCTAGTGTTGATCCAGCTGAGTATCTCAATGGATTGGAAAAGGCACTGGCTCAATTTACATCGACCTCCCGAACCTCGAGCACCATCAATGACAAGAGACGGGGATCCTTCGACTGCACACTGCAAACTGCAGAAGCCGAAAGGGTCATGAAGCTCATCCACGCAATCCCCGGATATGATTCGCTGGCCAATTTCTGCTGCCTCACGGACTGGGAGAAGGACCAGGTATTCTCTCATTATCGCAGGAAGAACAACATCACAGGGGGTGACGCCAGCATGGGCACTGATGCCGATGCCAAGCCAGGTGACGAGTCGTCGGCTCACCCTGGGGAGGAGGAAGCTGATGAGCCAGCGAACGACCCCACCGATGTGGTCAGGGACTCAGAGAATTCCGGGAAACAACAACTTTTGGATGCGTTGGGAAAACTATTCACCGTCTCTGAGGATGTCAACGTGTGCTTGTATTGTGGTAGCACCCAACATGGCCATCTTGAATGTGAACATGAGAAGAGAGATGAAGTCAGAAAAGTGCTAAAGGCCGTCCGAGCGTCGCTCGAGGCTGATAGTCCAACATCTGATGACGTCGATATGGAGCCTCCTGAGCACAAGAAGGACGGTTCAGGTGCTACTGATGGGTCGGGGCAAACGGATGAACCCACAAAATCGAGGTTTGGTGAACACCAATGGTACGACAGCATCAGAACTATGTCTGAAGTTGGTGACCTCGATGAGTATGGCAGATTCTGCATAGAAGGACGTGATGTGACAAAGCTAGGACCACAGAACATTGTTGACCTCAACGAAGTGGTCAGAGACGCTATTGTCAGAGGAGGAGGTGACTCTTGGTCAGTGCCAGACTTTATGGCAAGCTACTCTGATAACAACATCAGGAAGCCCTTCTACAAGAGAGTCGAGGCGCCGCAAGATGGTTTCTTGAAAATCATCCCGACCACGGGGGCCCATTTCTTCAACTGCTCTTACTTTGGCGGTGTAGAATATGCGGCCAACTACCGATTCGAGACTGGCAACCGACTCAATACCTACGAGGACAAGGTGAGTACATCACTAAACAGGATCCTGCGGCACAACGTGGGGAAGGTATCAGAACAACAGAGTCTGTCATGTGATGACGCCGGCTGGGTGCCCATCGAGGAGGTGCTCAAATGTGAGTCCATCTGGAGGCACGAGTACGCACGCTGGCCACATGTATTCCTTGCTCCAAAAGGAAGAGCAAATGATCAGAGTGCATGGAATGTCGATGAGGCAAACTACCGCATGACGTTGCTCTTCAAGATTATGTTCCACTGTGCCCGGTATGGACGTCGTGTTCGTGAACAAGTGTTGGCATTTGGTATCAACAAGGACATCGAGCGCACCAGCCTGACGTGCATTGACAACAAAGTCGATGCGAACACGAACATTCCTGATGAAGGTCTACTGCTCTACCCTGTGGCGGTCCGTGCTCCTACGGGGCACAAGGAAGGATCTTCGAGGGACGACGTCTCATTGCTGTCCTCATTACTTTCACATCCAATTGCGCCCAACACCATTTTGTCGTTACCGGTTTGTTTCCACATCACCAAGAAGACCAACCTTCGAAGCATTTGGAGGCAGGGATTAATTCCAGGAGGTCTTGGAGAAGGTCATCGGATGTTCACGTTCTTCAACCCGTACGTGCCATGGGATCACAGATCATGGACTATCACGAAGAGCGTTGATACGCGAAAGGGGGACTACATTTGCTTGTTCATCCCGACCGAGACCTTGATGGTGGAATATGGCGGTCGACTGACTGACTCGGGACAGATCGTCTCACCAAAGATCATCCCGTTCTCGGCAATCAAAGGAGGATGGATTCAGGACCCAAAGGACCAAAACAATAAGACATGGCTCCGGTTGTTCGTCCCGTCGGGCGACGACCAGGTAGTCCGGTCTGGAACTGTCAAATCAAGAACGGTAGCCACCAAGGAGTCCATCTTGAGGGTTGCAAGTCAATGCATCGACGCCGAAGATCAACCGTTTGACGAAACCGCCATGGATGCCATGAACATCGTCAACCAATTCAAGAACGACCTCATCAAGCCTGGCGGACAAGAACAATACCTGGCCCGCATCAAGCTGATTGACTACATAGTCGAACGCAAAAGGGTGCAAACATCAGGTTGCCGCCATTGTCCTCACTGTCTCAATGAGACGCCGACAAAACTAGCAGTGTGTCTAGTTTGCTGGACGGAACTGGAAAGTTGTGGAATCCGTCCCTATCGGCTACAAGCTCCTGAAGACGATGAAGATGAGGCCACGAAGAAAGAGATCGATGAAGAAGTTCGTCGACAAGAAGAATCGTTGTTCAAGGATACGGTCCATCAAGCACAAGAAAACGTATCCGAATCCAACGACTATGGCTTCAATCCCGACGAGGTCGACTACAACGAAGGCGATGATGAAGAAATGGATCAGGAGGAGGAAGCCCAACAGGAAGACGACGAAATCGTTGAAGAAGACGAAGATGAAATGGAAGTCGAACCTGAAGATGAATCCTCTACCAAGCTTCCAGCATGGACCAAGAACCTCGAGAGCGGCAGCAAGGGTATGCCAGAAGACGGACTTATCAACAACGATGTCTCCGAGGCCGCGGCTCACTTGTATGACAATGCTGTCATGTCAAAGGTCATCACAATGTTCAGGCTCTACTACAAACAGAGAGTCACTCTGACCCCAGAGGAGTACTATGAGATGATGACGGAAACCAAGCGAGTCCGGCTGGACCTGGACGACTTCTGTCCTTATACAGGAGAAGACCAGGATGGCAACCTCAAGCGACCGACGGAGCTGGAATTGGATGAACTCTTTCAGCAGAAAGGGAAGAGGAATTCATGGTCAGAAGGAGAGAAGTTATACTCAGGGCGACCAAGAAACATGATGATGCCTGTCATCAAGACTTTAGAGATCTATGAAAAGATGATGGAATTTCTGGTACGTGCTGGGTACACTCCTGAGTCATTAGGCTTTCTCATGCCAATGAACCGAATGCAGGCTGATGCCCAAGGGAAACAGGAGATGCGAGTAACCATCAGCAATTTCCTTCGACGACTGCTCAAAGGAACCTTTCCGGAGCACGAGTCATACACCTTCTTTCGCTCCGGGAGCCACGGCTTCCCCAACTGCATCGAACTCCCAGCCTTCTCGGTATATCTGAGCCTGAGGGAGAAAGAACAGAGAGTAGAACTGCTCTTTGCAGCCCAACAATGTGGCATTCCTTTACCTCAAAACTTTGTCAGCAAGATGGCTTATGCTATTCAGCTGGCCGAGGCCGAGGCGCAGAGGGGAAAGACCGAAATGAAAGCGAAGATGGCTCCAACCCTTGGCGACGAAGTGGTGAGTGAAGTATTCAAAGCGGTTGGACATACTGCAGCTTCTAAGTTTGCTAAACCAACTGCGCAACCTTCACAGACACCTGAAGGCACTGGTTCAGCATCATCCTCATCGGCTAGTGCACCAAAGGGCAAGGCTATGCCGAAATCCCATGAACCATCAAAGGCACCGCCTGCAAAGCCTTCATCGCCGAAAGCTGCTCCGAAACGTGCGGCAGGATGGGAGAGAACTCCAACAGCACCTCAATGGAAGAAAGTCCGCCGTGAGCAGTAAACCAATTACTTCGATCCGTAAAATGATCACTGGAATATGAGATGTGTATCGTCTTTGTGAACAGATGATCAGGAAAGGATCAACTGAGTGGACTCTGAGCGAGGCAGTAGACTAATTCGCTTAGGTTCAAGATTTTTGATATTCCCAATCTGCACGAATTCTGCACTGTGCACGTGAATTCGTTAGTTAGCATTGTAAATCTTTAGTAGCGAAGCGATCCATTTCTCCCGACGGGTGAGTGGTATGCCTAGCCAACGTAGAAAAGTAGATGTTAGCTAGCAATAATTCGCGTTGTACAGCTTGAGGACGCGCCGAAGCATCGACAGCCAGAGAGCAGGCGAACCCTGAACCATTATTCCCGACGGGTATGTGGGGAAGGGGGAGCCGAATGGCACGTTTTATATACAAAGGCGTAATTCAAGTAGCAGAAACCAATCTAATTCAAAGTTCCCTCTCTCGTGTCCGTGGTTCGAAGAATACCACGGGCATGGGGGGTGTCAAAGGGAACGTAGTGAGAGCATACAAACAATTCATGCATGGGACGCCATTATGGCTCAAGACCCCCTGCGTGTGTAAAAGAGAGCATTCGCTGCCTGCCATGTTCACTGGGTCCGGAAACTACCAGTAAGGCAGACACCACTTGAGATATAACATCCAGAACAAGGATCGATTTGTTCACAATATATATATATACATAAATATATATATATATATAGGTAGATAGATCGACAGATAGGTAGTTAGGTAGATAGGTAAGGTAGATGGGCATCATATAACGTAGACAATAAAGATGTGTAGAACGGGGGTAAACATCCAATTTCTCAAAAGCCAGGATTCCCCCCGATCTGAGGACTCGACGTCACTTCCACCTTGTCACCCACATCGAACTCGAAAACCTGGTGGTGAAAGGGGTTTGATGGGACAATGATGGGAAAAGGCACAAGAAAATCATGAAAATGCGCGAAACAACCATCCAATCTTGGCATTTATGGGTGAATAAGAATCCGTAGTAAACTATGATCAGGACTCCCCTACTTCCCTGAAAGCAATTCTTGGGGAGACAGCGCATGCTTCCGCGCTTTCAACATCTTTCAACTGAGACACACGGAAGGTGGGTGTGAAGTCCATATAGTAAGAAGCTGCGGTGACGGCCACACGGCCTAGGTCTCGCAAGTCTGGACTTCCAAAGTCCAGAGAGGCCTCAGCTCAGAGCATCATTTCCAGCTGCCATGGATGCCATGTCGAAGTGGGCCATCTTGATTGACATATCTGTTTGAACATCTTATGTGTCAAATGGGTACATCAAAACATCCAAAATCAACAAACATCCAGAAAAATCCAAAAAGTCTAAATCAATTAAAATATATTAAAATCATCCAACACCCACCTTTTATAGGCAGCCAAGAGGCCAGCGACCACATCAGAGATCCTCCACAGAAGTCGAAAAGGCTCAGGGTTGGAACCTCTATCCACACAGGACCGGGGCCTCACACTGCAAAGATCTGCCCAATGAGTCTTCAGCTTGGAACTGAGCTTTGTAAGTGGCATTTAGGTTGACTATTCATGACATTAAATTCAATATCCTTCCAACCCAAGTTACATATCATACATTGAATTGACCGTTCATCAAGTAGATTCTTTAATCAGTTTAATCATTAAATGCAAGGAGCGGTTCCCCGTGAGCACGCCATTGGTCAAGTTGATCTCCAGCTCCTCTGGAAAGGCTTCGATCAGTTCCCCCCGAATTTTCTCCAGGTCAAGGAGTGACAGTTCAGGCCACAAACGCCAGGTCACCAGCAGAAACCTCGGTGCACGGAGAGTTGATGGATTTCTTCAGATGGCAGTGTGTCAAAACCTTGTACCCCTGGTGAACATCAAAATAGCTGGTAAATGGATGTTCATCCCCCTAAAAATGGTATTAATAGGTATTGATCCATACCCAGATGTTTAAGGAGAGTTGATGGATCTAAAATTTGGATGTATGGCACATCACCGTACATCCCAAAGCGCAAGGCCGATTTCGTGATGGTCGTGTTGTTCTTTCAAGAGATGCAAGCCGGAACGCTGGAGGGTGCCAAGGACAGTCAGCGAACCCACCAAATAGGCACAGGCATCACTGCAGCCCAACTTGTCCAGCCCGAGTTGATAAAGAGAGGAAGGTCGAAAATACAACGCCCAGTGTGTCACAGCCAAACGGCCAAACAGCCAGCCGAGTGTGGCGACCTGCGGCGCAACACGCGAAAAAAATAGCAAGAAGACCTGACACAGCATGGCACAACTGCACAGCAGCGGGTACTTGCTGCCAGGCTGCACAGAGAAGAACGATTGCACCCCACCACTCTGGCGAAGAAACATCCAAATTTTGCAAGGCTATGCCTGGGCGAAGGCGAAATCGACGCCATAGGGAATCATCCACCTATGCACGGCTGTGAATCGCGCCCAGCTGATTCAGCCAAGGAACTAAAAAGTACTGGGAAGATCCAGTTGTTCCACTGCATGGCCACACAGGCTTGGCATTCCTATGTTTAAAATCTTGCATGCAGGGGTTTGACCAAACAGCGAGGATGACCACTATTGCCAAACACCAAAGGAACTTATGCTTAGAATCTTAGAAGCCTCCTGAACGGGTTTGTGTCCAGAACCTTCCTTATATTCAGGACAGATTCCAGATTCCACACCTCACATGGGGCTGGTCCGCTTTGAGCCGAACGACGGTCACTGAATCGATAGCCACCTGAGGGACCTGGCAACCCCAAAAAAGTGCTGGACGCGCTGGTCCGCTTACCACGCTTTCAAGACATAATGACTTTCTACCCATTGTTACCTAGTGACAAATAGACTAATATTAATATAGAATAAGAATATTACCTATATCCAAACAGGATTGCCTCCAAGGCTGCTGTCCGCACACCTGGCAGCAAACAGAAAATGTCACGTTCGATGGACAATCCCGCAATTTCTGTCGGAACAAGAGGTGAATTGATATGATAAGAATCCATATGAAACACTATCAAACCTAAACTCAATATTTTCGAAAGTCATGAATAATTGTGTTAATCCTGAATAGTATCAACGTGATTTTACTGATCAATAATGATCAATAATTATATAAATATGTAGAAATCACGACTCTACAAATGGCTTCTCTTGCCAGTGTCACCTCTGCGGCTCCCCCGCCAAAGGTGCCGGCTCCAAACCATGGCGAAAAGCTCACATGCTGGTTAAAACCTATCAGATATTGGAGATATACGCTGTATATAATATTACATGTAATAGAATGTAATATGCATGTATATATATGTATATGTATATACACAGGCAAATATACGGATCTTCTATATATTTCGTTTGACGATCCGGGATCATCATTCTCGGTCGCCGGTAGCCGAACATATGCTCCGACCATCATTAAAAAAATGCCATCAGATGCAATCAGTAACGGAAGCAACAAAATTGGGATGTCATCCCCACATGATTTGGTAAAACCGATGGGTTTAGCCCTGGATCTGAACAACTGCAGTGCCAGCGTCCAGCCATGCCGGTGTTCAGCAAAGATCACGAAACCATCCACATGGATGCATGCCAAACAACAAAACTTGGGGATTGACCGGAAAAATGTGGATCGACAAAGCGCAAATGCTGCGACTTTTTCTCATGTTGCCATGTTCACGGTGCCTTCAGAGACACTTTTCATGAAGACGCATGTCTTCAACTTTCGACTGTCCACTTTGTGACACCACAGCACGACAGTTTTTCTCCACCAGTTCCCAGTAGCACTGCGCCATGACACATCGATCTCGTTCGGGTCCTGGATCTGTGATGCTTTTGAAGCAGCTGGAGTCCTTCGGGCTGATCTTTGCTGGGAAGACACGCTCATTGCGTTTTCCCATTCTCTCCTGAAAACGGGCGTTGCGAACTCCATCACAAGACTTCTGGGATTCAAAGAACCTCAGTACAGCGCTAAAGCCGCGAGGGAGGATGACGGAGGTTTCATGTCGTGGATGCGCGACGGACCCCATACTAGCAATGCTCGTAGGTCTTCAATGCCAAGGCCATCCAATGCCAAGGCCATCCAGTACAACGGATTGTATGGCTGTGTCTGATAATGGGCTACACTCCCCAATTGGCCATTTCATATGGAAAATTATAATTAACCATCATGGGATTTTGGGGTGCCCCATATTCAGGCAAAGCCATGGCAAAGCCATATACACCAAAGATATTCAAAAATACCCCAAACGCCACTTTGAGAAGTGACGTTGATGTGACAAGCCACTCGCAGTGAAACAACATGGATTTTTGCAGTCGCTTCAGCAAGTCCTCCTTGGTGTCTTGACTCGTTGAAAAGGGATCGTCCAGTAGAAGTTGGTCAATTTTTCGCGCAAACCATCGGCCATAGACATTATCCAAGACCATAGCAACGCGCTCAGAGCAGGTCGTAACGGTCGTATGACCTTCAGGGCCTTCCCTGATTCCTGACGCCCTCATGGCCATGGCAACGGCCATGCTGAAAGCTAGACACCTCATTGGTGCACCGAAGCCTCGATGGAGAAGACACAGGAACCTGCTGTGTATTTCACAAATTGTCCTGGTTTGGAGCCTGCAGGGGCTAGCAACACTGCGTATCTCCAACCGGAACAACCCTAGATTGACTTGAAGCATCTTGAAACACTCTTGAAGCACTCTTGAAGCACTTGCCTCTGACAGCACTGATTCATAAGTAAGGCACGGAATTTTTATCCACTATCTTGCGATGTACTTGGCCTTGCAAGGATCCTAAGTGTGCAACAGCACTGGCAACCTGGTCAGCCATGCCTTCGGCATTCTGTGCACGAGGCCATTTCTAAACATCAGTTGACACAGGTGGCCACACTTCACACAGTTTTACAGTAATTGAAAGAGAGGCTGCCTTGTGTCTCATCAAATATTTCATATCCAACTCATGCGCGTGCCACATATTTTGCTGCACTTTTAGGATTTTTTTCGGGTTTCATTTAGGGTTTCTTTAGGGGTTCATTTAGGGTATCTTTAGAGTTTCTTCAGGGTTTCATTTATATAAAGTTTCTTTAGGGTGTCATTTAGGATGTAATTTAGGGTCTTTTTGGGGTATCTTTGGGATTTCATTTTGGTTTTGGGTTTCTTTAGGGTTTCACTCAGCGTTTCTTTAGGGTTTCATCTAGGATTTCTTCAAGGGTTTCTTTAGGGTGTCTTTTAAAGTTTCTGTAGGGTTTCATTTAGGGTTTGTTTAGGGTTTCATTTACGGTTTCATTTAGGGTTTCTTTAAGGTTCCTTTGGGATGTCATTCATGGTTTCTTTGGTGTTTCATTTAAGGTTTCATCTATGATTTCTTCCGGGTTCATCTAGGGTTTCTCTGGGGTCTCATTAAGGATACAAAAAGGAGAGAATAAAGCAAAAGAAAAAGAAAAGCAAGGAGACGGTAAAGAAAAGGAAGCAGAGAAGCAGAGCAGCAAAAAGGCATGACTGCAGAAAAAGAAAAAGGAGTAGAAAGGCACAGAAGCAGAAAAGCAGAAAAGCAGAGAAGCAGGAAAAGCAGAAAAGCAAAAAGCGGAGAAGCAGAAAAGCAGAGAAGCAGGAACAACAGAAAAACAGGAATCCAAAAAATAATAAATTTTATCAAAAAAATAATGCCTAAACTAAATAGCCCTCCAAAAGAAAGTCATGACTTTAAGAGAGCAATCTTACTTAAGATGTTTCTGTCCGCCTGTCATGTCTGGTGACGGTTGTGTTCAGTCACACATCATGAAGGGCCCAGAGATCCCTGAGATTTCAGGCGTGTGGTGAAACGATGCGCTGTTCAGGGCTGGTCACAGAAAGCGGATGTGTTCCAACGGGTTTCTCTGACACCGGCATCAAACATCGCATCTGAATCACATGCGCCTGAAACATGTGTCAAGACTATGCATAACCAGATCAAAGCAGTACGGCTGCAACAGTGCGTGAGTTTCAACACATGGAAATCCAAAGCATTGGCAAAACAGTAAATCTTCAATTTAGCACATCAGCTTTAAAATTATCGTGCTCCTACCTCAGTACAACAAACTGTTGCTGCTGCCGCTATTACTGCTACTACTATGATGTTGCGGCCTACCACAAGGACAACAATAACAAACGGCTTCCTTCACTTGCTTGAAAGCAGATGCCAAACGGCCATCAGAAAAATGCAAAACCTGCAAAACATGGTATTCAGAACATTGTCAGCAAACTGCTCGTCATTTGTATTTTTTACCTGGGAAAGATTTGATAGAGTATTACTGCACAACTGTCAAAACCAGGTGTGTGTGTGTGTGCTCTGATCCTCCACACAGGAGTTCAGTATTGGCACCATCCCACCACAGACCCAACATTTTGACTTCGCTGAAATGACGGCACTACAGCCTGCTGCAGCATGTTCAGAGTGATTGCAAACGAGGTGCCATCTCTGCATTCTTTTCGGGAGCGGATACTGCACCCATTGCACATAGGAACTCAACATCTCAAGCCGCAACTCTTTTTTCCGGATCTAGGTGGCGCCTAATCTGCACGGGCGCAGCCAACAAAGATCAGCGACTACCATCTCCAAAGAGCCTATATCTTCAAAGACACTATGTAGCTAGCAGCTATACCGTGCTATACCGGCTGTTGAAATCCAACATGGAATCCAAAATTGGCAATGTCCGAGACATCATCAAATTGTCCAAAATCAGAGAAGATGTTCCAAAGTCAAACCTTCTTCCATACCCGTTCATGAAGAGGTTTTCCATGTTGGTCCGGACTCACTACCTGCCACATCCAGCTCCAAACAAATGATCCCAGTGGCGCTCATTCGCCTGCACACCTTGGACGGACCCCGCTTGAGAGGCAACGCGTAAAGCTGCCGCTGGCGCGCCAGCGGGAAGGCTGGCAAGGCTGTTCCCTGCCTCCATCTTTAGCAGGGCTTGGTGCAGCCATTCCAGCAGCAAAAAAGTGGCCACATGAAATTCGCTGGGGGGGAAGACCTCCCTTTCATATACAATTCCAGGATGGTTTGCGACCAAATCACCAGATACCACCGTACTTCTTCCCTCATGGGTCATGATCCGTTGGGGATTGACCAAAAGAGGGTTCTCTGGATTTCCATTGGCTACAATGAATTTGGGTGGTTGGCCCATGACCTTTCGAGCTTCAAGTTGCTTGCGTTCATCTTCAAGCAGAGAATTCACCTTGGGTAGGTCATCTGCCATCCGCCTTTGAAGTTCGTCCTGTGGCAAAGTTGTGGCCACAAGCTCTGAACATGCATCTGGGTAAATTCTAATGTTTCCCTAGCCTGAGAGAAAGGCTATTTTGATCTATTTTGGGATAGCTACCCCCACCATCCAGTGAGGTCGCAGTGACGCTTTCGGGAGTTCGGGACCTGGGACCTGGGGGGCCTAAGGGAGTCCCCCACTGTCCTGTAGCAGAGCCTTGTTCTCAGACAGCAAGCGCTGATACTCCAAGGCATCCGTCAGGGCCTGCTTTTCATCTTGCCCAAGCTGACGGGTTTGGGCCTGTGCACGCTGTGCCACGTACATCTGGGTGACTCTCAAGGCCGTCTTCCTCAGATCGATCTTCAACTCCGCCTCCTCCTTTTTCCATGCCTGTCGAACTTCCTCATGCAGGGTCTTCTTCAATTTCGCCTGCAGCTCTTGCATTTGCACTTCTGGTTCCCACCGAAGGTGAATGAAAGTATTATGTAACATTATTTATGTATATTCATCTACTTACAAGACACCTTTGTGAAACCAAGCCCAAACTAAACCTAAAGAGTTTACCTTGCTGTTTGACTTGCTGATCTCCTGTCATTGCGCAGGTCGGGTTTCCAAAGAAGCGTCCATCTGGCTCAACCCGCGTCTGGCATGGAATGCCTCAGCTACTTCCGAAGAAATACAACGTAGCAACCACTAGCAATGATGAAATGTGTAATAATAACAATAACTGTAACTTATTGTACCGTACTTAGTATATCGAACTATATCTATATCGAACTTAATGCCAAAACATCCGAACCACAATGCTCCGCGGCTCTTCTATTGGGCTTCGAAAGAAGTGAAACAGCAACTGCATCGCAGAAGAAGCTGAGTCCAGTGCTGCCAGGCGGCAATGTCTGCGTCCCGCATTCCAAGTCTCAAAGCAAATCTCGAAGCTGGCCAGCTCTGGAACGTCTGCATCATAGTACAGATCTTGTAGTTTCTTCTTGTCAGCCTCTTCCCATTCTGAAGTCTCGTGTTGGCATCGCTGCACAAAAGAGAACATGGGTAACTCAACCCCGTTGATCCGCCAGGATTCTTCTAGTTCACTGAAGTCGGTCAACTTGTCAAGAAGTTTTTTAAGTTCTGGTTTCCCTCTCAGCTTGATGCGAATGTCCTGTGTCAACTCACCAACTGGTCCAAAAGACTCTTTGAACCACTGCCGAGTTTCTTCACCAACATGCACCAATGCATCCCGGCGATATTCACTCTCTTTGGCCATGTCTCCGCAGAGTCTCTGCAACACTGCTTCCAAGAGCCGAGTATCATATCCTGTGGCACCCCAGAAGGCACGCTCCATGCGACCGACCTGGGCCTGGTCATCCTCGTGTGCTTCAGAAATGTACTCAGGAAGTTTTTCAATCACTTCTCTCAACAATTCGTTGGTCTTGTCCACATATGTCTTCAGCGCTTCATCCCGGGCTGTGCGGACTTGCTTCTCCTCATCCAACACCTGGGGAAGCATGGCGCTGCAGAAGTTGATGGCTAACCGCGGGGTGAAACTTGAAATGTGTAGCGCTTGTCCAAAGAATGTTGGGCAAAAAAATGGATTTAGAATGCTGCCAGAACAAAGTCGGGAACATTCTATGTTCCAGAATGAATATCAAGTAGCACACACTCGGTGGCAAGTATGTATTTGGGGGAAGGTGGTGTGTTCTCCTTGCTTGTGCGGGCTGTTGGTCCCTCACTTTTGCCAACCGCTCGTGGAATAGTCTTGCGTAACAGCAAGCTTTGGCAACACTCTTGAATTCCTGTAGAAAATGGATGTAAAGCGGTCTGCAGGAACACTTTTGCGTAATACTCTTTGGCACTCTTTAACAATTAGTGTGACCATTTCCAGCCTGCTTTACAATATGCAATTTTCCCTACTTTGCTCTGTGCCAGAGAAGGGGGTTTACACAAATGATCGTGATGTCCAAAAAAAATGTGCTGGCATTTTCGTATATTTTAGTTCTAGGTGATTAGTAGTGTGAGGGCTCAATGAGGATCATACGACCACCGAGGCATTGGGGTGAGAACATGAATCAAAAAACACGGAAAGGTTTACTGTGGCATTCATTCTCGCACACCCCAATGCTTATGGCTTATAGCCAGTTGTAGCCAACCTCTTCACAGAGGTCTTGACCCATGTTCATGAGCTTCGCCATGTGATTGTAGGTGTTTTGCTCCAAGCGGGCGATTTCTGCCAAGACCACCTTGAGATCGGGATCCTTCACCACGCGGCGTTGCAGCGCAGTCTGGAAGGCATCGAGAAGTGCGCGATCCAGTTCCTGTCCATTGTTCTGGAAGTCCACCAGGCCCAAAATAGCCGCGGGTCGTTGAGATGGGATGGTGTTGTAGATCTTCTTCATGAACTCATTCATCTCCTGCGACAAGATGTGCGAAGGATTTTTTTTTGCAATGCTTTGTAGAGCTGCCGTGCGCGTTGCACCTCATCAGTTTTTTCAGGATCCCGACTTTTGCTTTCAACCAGGAGTTTTTTCAGGTGTTTCTCGGTGTTTGGATGATTCCTGGGCCCCATGTTCTCATTGTACCTGGTCACCACTGGCAAGATGCAGCTGGGTGCCCTGCTGGCCAGCTCCAACACGAATCTGGACTCACTGGCCAAGCCACCATGGCCCTTATGGAGGATAGATTTTTTTCGTGCATGGCCGTGGCCGTGGCCGGGTGGCCGTGGCCGGGTGGCCGTGGCCGGGCGGCCACGCGGGTGGCCGTGGCCGGGTGGCCGCGGGTGGCCGTGGCCGGGTGGCCGGGTGGCCGTGGCCGGGTGGCCGTGGCTGTGGCCGGGGCGATGGGGCGGATGGCCGGGTGGCCGGATGGCCGGGTGGCCGGATGGCCGGATGGCCGGGTGGCCGGATGGCCGCCTGGCTGGGTGGGCAGGTGGGCGGGTGGGCGGGTGTGGCCGGGTGGCCGTGGCCGTGGCCGGATGGCCGGTTGGCCGGGATTTGTGGGTGGGTGGCGGTGGGGGGGAGGAGCGTTTTTAGAAGATGATTGTAATTTGCTTACTGCTGATTTCAAACAATATCAAGCAGCGTTTTGCTGTCCCGTATGTGGCGTAAGATTGCTTGAACAAATTTACCATATATGTCTCAACCAGAAACATCGATTTGTGTGCTAATTCCTACCCACATGTATAAACTCATTCCCCTTTAAGACAACACGATCACTCCATGCAGTTCAGCAGTTCAGTTCTTGCCTCTTTTGTCAAAGCTCTATTTGACAATCGCCTTCATTATCACATGGAATAGCCACAGGAAGCCAGCAGCAGTAGCATTTCTTTCACGGGAGGAGGAGATGGATGAAGTGAACAAAAGGTGTACACCAGCAAATGACGGCGAAGACAAGCACTTGACACGAGATGCATCATGGAATAGGAAACAACTTGTTAAACAAGGTGCCGGGCATCTGAGAGGCCCGTGATTGTCGTCACTTTTCAAACATTTTCTAGGGGGAATTGAAAAGGCTCAAAAACGAAACTTTAGTATCATCAGCAATATGAACATCATCATCATCATCACCACCATCATCATCATACGGTGAGAACATACAGCAGCGTAGAATGACGTATGTGTGGAAGTGCAAGAGTACCTACAGCGTAGCATTACGTATGTGTGGAAGTGCAAGAGTACCTACAGCGTAGCATGACGTATGTGTGGAAGTGCAACAGAACCTACGGCGTAGCATGACGCATGTGTAGAAGTGCAAGAGTACCTACAGCGTAGCCTGACACATGTGTGGAACACAAAAAAACCTACAGCGGCGTAGCATGACGCATGTCTAGAAGCGCAAGAGTACCCACAGCGTAGCATGACACATGTGTGGAAGTGCAAGAGTACCTACAGCGTAGCATGAGGTATGTGTGGAAGTGCAAGAGTACCTACAGCGTAGCATGAGGTATGTGTGGAAGCGCAAAAGAATCTACAGCAGCGTAGGAGCATTACACATGTGTGGAAGTGCAAGAGAATCTACAGCAGCGTAGCATGACACATGTATGGTGCAAGACTACCTACAGCGTAGCATGAGGTATGTGTGGAAGTGCAAGAGAATCTACAGCAGCGTAGCATGACACATGTATGGAAGTGCAAGACTACCTACAGCGTAGCATGACGTGTGGAAGTGGAAAAGAACCTACAGCGTAGCATGACGCATGTGTAGATGTGCAAGAGAACCTACAGCGTAGCATGACGTATGTGTGGAAGCGCAAGAGAGCCTACAGCAGCGTAACATGACACCTGTGTGGAAGTGCAAGAGTACCTATAGCGTAGCATGAGGTATGCGTGGAAGTGCAAGAGAATCTACAGCAGCGTAGTAGCATGACACATGTGTGGAAGTGCAAGAGCACCTACAGCGTAGCATGAGGTATGTGTGGAAGTGCAAGAGAATCTACAGCAGCGTAGCATGACACATGTATGGAAGTGCAAGTACAGCGTAGCATGACGTATGTGTGGAAGTGCAAGAGAATCTACAGCGTAGCATGACGTATGTGTGGACGTGGAAAAGAACCTACAGCGTAGCATGGCGCATGTGTAGAAGTGCAAAAGTACCTACAGCGCAGCATGACGCATGTGTGGAAGCGCAAAAGAACCTACAGCGTAGCATGACGCGTGTGTGTGGAAGTGCCAAAGAGTTTACAGAAGCGTAGCAGACGTAAGTGTGGATGTGAATGAAATGCAAGAGAGCGTACAGATATGTTGCATCACATATGTGTGGAAGTGTATGTGACGTTATTATACCACCCCACCCCCTGCACCCCACCCCACCCCCCACACACAATGTTATTTTCATAGTAGAAGGCAAAATATGACAACAGTCGCGAGCCTCTCAGATGCCAGGCACCTTAAACAAGTGGCAAGAAACGATCAGAATGTCATATCACAGAAAACTTGTAAATATCATCAATAGAAATTAAAAGGGCAGATAGTCACGGTAGTTGACACCTGCTTGTGACTGTTGGATGCTCAAACTGCTTGGGCCCTGAAAACCTAAAAAGAATTTTGGCACTGTGTGCCCTGCAGAGCCAATGAAACATCTGAATAATTATTATCTCTCATCGACATCACCATCATCACCACCATCATCATCATCATCATCACTACCAGTAGCATTACCGTGGAAATTCAGCTGAAAGTGAAGATCTCGGAGGTGCATTCACTTGCGTTCTTTTTTTGGGGGGGTAAAATAGCTATTGGCAGCAAAAATGAACGTTAATTCCTTGCAAACATGATTTAGAACAGTGACACCTGGTTCCATGTCAAAATCCACCACAACCATAAGGTTGAGCGCATGAGAGAAGTAACATCAAGAGCGTGTGCGTGGTTGCTTGAGAACATCGAGGGCGTAGCATCAAGAGCGTGTGCCATGCTGCTTGAGATAGTTAAGCGCGTAGCACCAAGAGCCTGCAAGTTGCTTGAGAAATTTGGGATTGAGGGCCCGAAAGGGTTAGCACCAAGAGCGTGTTGTAAGTTGCAGGAGAAAGTTGAAAGTGTGGGATCAAGAGTGTGTTGCCAGTCGCCTGAGAAGTTCAAAGAGTAGCAGGAAGAGTGCGTTGCAAGTTGCTTGAAAAGGTTCAGCGCATAGCATCAAGAGCATGTTGCAAAGCTGCCTGGGAAAGAAAAGAGCATAGCACCAGGCACCATGCAGGAGCGTGTCGCAAGTTGTTCGAAAAAGTTAAGAAGCTCAAAACAATTACAGTAATTCCATCAAAAACACAGGAGACAGGTGGCCGGCTGGCGGGTGGCCGGATGGCCGGGTGTGGCCGTGTGGCCGTGTGGCCGTGTGGCCATGTGGCCATGTGGCCGTGTGGCCCGTGGCCGCGTGGCGGGTGTGGCCCGTGGCGGGTGGCCGGGTGGCCGGGTGGCCGGGTGGCTGTGGCCGTGGCCGGGCCGGGCCGTGGCCGGGATGGCCGGCAACTAAAAAAAGCTATTGTGCCCTTATGCATGCACCACACGAAGACACATGGCCGGCCACTAGCCACCCTCTGCACGTAGGACATGGATTCCTGAGCCCAATGAACTGCCTCACCTCGGTAGTTGATACCTGGTGGATCCAGCAAAATGGCATTATCCAAGATGCTTGGCCTTTTCCACTTCAAGCATTTCAGCTCGGGTTCCTGCCCATGGACATGGTCGAAAACTGTGGTGGTGAAGAGGGTCTCCTTCATCAACTTGATCTCCACATAACCCAGGCACTGGTCTGGGTTTGCACAGTACCTTGGCCAAAAAACGGGAAGGGCAGACAAAGTGGAGAGGGGTGTGGTCGAAAGGTGGCCTATAGTTGTCCGGAACCATAGATTGATAGGCACAAGAAGGACTGACAGAAGCATGCATGTTGTGGCCAAGCCAAAGGAATGGAATTGAAACAGCGCGGTGGCGAAGGATAGTTGGGGACGATGAGGAGAAAAATGCAGAAGGAAACCAACCAGAGGACGAATGAGGATGCGTAAAGAGGGAACGGCAGGCGAACATGGCGCATATACAAAGGAAACCTACAGGACAACGCTCGTACCTCGCACATTTTCCTCGAAACCAACGTGAGCCAAACCAGTTACACTTGGCCCAAATTCATAGGGCGGCTCTGGGGCTATCCTTGTTAGAGGCATTTTTGATTTGGTGGTTCCCAAAGACAAACGACATTATTCCAATAAAAACCCAAGTTAAACTATAAATTCCTGAAATGTTCCAAAAAAAATACCTGGAAAATCCTTGCCAATTCCAGAAAATTCGTCCTTAAATTTTTAAATTTCCACCGCAAATCTCAAACTCAATAGCTGCTGGTTCACTTGTTTTTTTTCCCTCCTCTCTTGTCTCTGACATATCTAATGCAACCTCATCAGCTGCATGCTGTTCAACTTCAGCCTTGCCTCTGCCTCACGAGCAACAAGCTGCAGTGAATACGTTTTATTTCCAGCAAACAAATGGTTCGGTAAATTCAATGTGTGAAAGCTTTCAGCACATGAGAGGCGCATGTAATGCAATGACCTTTTTGCTTTGGAAAGCACGGGGACTGATTCACCTTTTGGTGGTATAGTCCTTCTTCTTTGGCCATTTTCCAATGTGATGCTCCATTGCTGCCAAAACTTAAAACTTCATCTGGTACCACACCAGGTTCCTGAGGCTGTTTGCCTCGAGGTAAAGGCAGTGAGCTGGCAATGTAGCCCCACTTCGCTAAGACATCCAAAGCGCACTGCAAATCATGTTGTTCTTCTTCTTCCTCCGCCTCTGTCCTTGGTCGCTTTGCTCGCTCCCTTGCCCTCTGGGAACACCCACTTGGTCGCCTCGACAACCTCCTTGACTTCCAGGTTGCCCCTTGTAGTCGTGAGTATCATTGACTCGCCATTGGTGTCCAGCCTAAGTTTCTTGAGCAAGGTGTAGCCGAGAACTGTCACAGGAAGTTTGACCTCCAAGCTCTCCAGTTTCCTTTGCACATGGTCGAAGCGAACTAGAAACTGCTTGTAGTTCTCCCCAGGTTTCACTTGCAACTCCCGAAAACAGAGCCGCGGTGTTCCCCGCTATGACCCCGTCATCCAGGTAGAACATGGCGAGGTCCAAGGGCCCAGATTTCAGGTCTTGGGTCAAAGCATGGATTGCTGTTGCAAATAGCAACGGCCCGAGAGGGTCGCCTTGCTGAACACCACCCGCTGAAGGGATGTGGGAAGTTCCGAAGCGGAGGGAGGATGGATGCTGGTAGCACCAAGTCACCCAGCGACTGATGTTGGGGAAGTGGGAGGCGGCCGTCTCCAACACTGCTGTCCGAGAAATGCGGTTGAAGGCATTTGCAAAATCCAGTTTGACTAGCACCTTGCCTTGTACGGACCGGCTCCGCAAGGTCCAGGCCCGCACTGTGTGGATGGCAATCTCGGCCCCAGACTTGACCCCCACGCCCAGCTGGGTTGGCCAGAGCATGCGGCGGGCGTCCTCTTGCGCAGTTTGCATCAAGCATTTTGCGGTGGGTCGGCGGAGGACTTCACCGATGGCGATGGGCCGGACCCCGCCGTTTGGCTTTGGGACGGCAACCAGACCAGCTCCGGCAAGAACAGGCGCAACTGCAGGGCAAGCCCGTCCTTGCGCCAGCAGGTTCACCAGCTGCGTCAGGTGCTCCACGGTGCTGTGGGCCATGCCGGGCGGCCCCGCCTCACGGAGGTGTTGCACTCGTAGCCCAGAAGGGCCTGGTGCCGTGTCGGCAGGAAAGCTTTGTAAGGCCCTGGCTACGCAGTCTTCAGGGAGCTCATCTGCCAGTGGGAGGGAGGCCGGGTCGGAAGTGGGTGTGGGTGGGACTGGGTGCACTGGTGTCTCCGTTTTCCTCGCAGAGCCCTGTCTGCAATAGGGCATTGCACGCCTTCCGGTCGAAGCCTTCACGACTTCCGGCCGGCTAGGGATAGCTGGTGGCTGTCCTCCCAGAGACTGCGTCTTTTTCCTTCCGTCCACCGCCGCAAACGATCGAGGGTGTACGCGGCTGCAGCTCGGCGGTGGCGGCGGCCAGCCCGACGAGGTGCCCCGAGCACACACTGAGGTAGCATCAGCAGCTCGGTCCACGCCTTCAAGTCGTTGTAGTGCACAGTGGCTGCGACTGCCCGGATGAGTGCTTGACCCCAAAGAAAGCGAGCCGCTGCAGGGATGTGACGCAAAGTCCGCACCCGGCTGCCTTGGATTTGGTCAAGTGTGGGCAGGCCTTGGGCCTCGGTGGCGGGCCGAGGGGCTGTGGCCGCTCCAAGGGCAGCACGGACCGATGGCTGGCAAGTGGGGTGGGTCCCGTAACGTGTTGACACGCTAAGGCCGCAGACGGGGCATCGTTGGCGGCTGTTGTCCCGGAGCCACTGGTCCGGCACGTTGCCTTGGAGAGTGCCCGCGAGGTGGGAGTCGATGTGGGACAGGAGCGTGGCTTTGTTGGTCCAACCAGCAGCCCGAGAAGGGTCCGCACAAGGACAGCCAGCCACCCGCCCCAACACCATCGACTGCCATGGTGTCGGGGGACCCCGAGCGATCTCGCCGCCGCTGCTGGGCCCGCTCGCTGCCGACGGGGGTGCCCGGCATTGGAAGCCCTGGGTGGGAGGCCCGCAGTGGCCACCCTCTCCACCGACCGAGACAGGGAGTTCGTCGGTGTAGGTGGCGCGACCGACGGTGGAAGCGCACATAGAGGCGCTCCTGTGGGCGAGGGGGCGGCAGCCAGTGTCGATGCAGGAGTGTCGTGAGGCGCTTCCGCTGCCGGCGGCCAAGACAGGGCAGACAGAGGTTGGCTGAGTGGTTGGGAAGAGCGGGTGCCCCCCACGCATGGAGATTGCTGGCAACGTGGCAGGAGGCCACGAGCCAGCACAGACAGCCCATAGTCCAACGAAGGACCATGGCGCGTTCAGGCTGACTCACTCACCGGCTGGTCCCTCGCTGCTGAGATCATGTAGTAGGGGGGGTCCAGCAGGAGGGAGAAGAAGACGGCGAATCAGCCAGAGGTGCCAACCGGTGAGGAGCCAACCACGCACACGGTCGAATGGGCCGCCACAAAAAATAGTTTCCCCTTTCCACGGCCTGCTGCTACTGTTTGCTGCGTTTCCAAATTTATGCTACGATGCGGTTTTTTTAAAACAGTTGGGTTAACTTTCGTGAAGGTATGTTCAGCAAAGCGTTGACGGATTTGAGGTAGAACTACGCATGCGCAAGGGCCTTGTGTTTGCCAGTTCTCGTCATGCCATTGCTCGTACATTTTGTGTTTTTTAGGGTTGTATGTTTCGAATTCATTTTTTGAAATCATATCCGATAAATTTGATGTTCAGCTGTGCGATTTTAAAAAAACAATGTAGACGTCTTAAACATTTGTCGCGTTGGTTGTGGCAATTGTCTATCGGCCGTGGTTTGGTTTAATATTTTTTGTGCGTAATTTTCAGGGTTGATGTCTGTAATTCGTGTAAGGTCGAAGGGTAACGGCGTTGCGGTGCGTGGCAAGCATGGTGATTGGCTAACATGTTTTTTTCTTTTCGCGGATTTTTCCAGCTGAGGGTTTGTGCGTAGGGCAGCCGGGTCGCTAAGCATGGTTTTGATTGGCATCCGTTTCTGTTGCTCATGGTTGCTCGCAGTTTTCAATCTTTCTGCCCGCAACATACGCCCATTACGGAACACTACGGCATCTTTAAATAAAGCGGCCATGACTCCGTGGATGCTTTTCGGAAGAAAATTCACCTTTATTGTCAGCAATTCCTGCATTGAAATTGGTTGGGATTAAGTTGGTGTCATCGGGTGGGCTAGCGAAACACAAACGGCCAACAGGAACAGTGAAACAACGCAGGGGAGCGGTAACAGGCACACAGGTGAAAAGGCGTTAGAAATTCGGACTACGTGGTTCAAAGGGTTAAGGGGTTCAACCAAAAGGCCCGAACACAATGGCAAAAGAGCTGTGCCGCGCGGGGGCGCCAGCCGCAGCTGCAGGAACACGGACCGAAGTGGTTTGCAGGGGGTAAGGGCCCAAGAAGGCAAGTGAGACACACAGCGTGACCAAGCCCTCTGCCGCCAGGTGACGATGTGGGGTTCGTCAAGGCCCGGACGCAAGGACCAGAGAAGTGCAGTTGCTGGTAACTGTTTGGGCGCCCCTGGTGCGGCACAACTGTTTTTTGTACCTGGTGATTTTTCCGTTCTTGGGGTCATGTTTCACGGTGTTGTTTTGGTTCGTGGGGAGGCCTGGCGACGCCGGGGGCAAAAAAAATAAAACAATGCAACATCACTACCCTTTTAAGGAGGGGGGCGTACCCAAATTGCAAGACACAATTTAGACGTTTTTGAGGGAAGTGGTCCTGTTTAATGTTGGCAAGCCTTTATTTGTTTAACTGCGTCTTATTTGCAAGATGTCATTTTAGTAGGTCCCCTCATTCTTTACGATATTTCATTTATTGTCTAAAAAAAACGTGGGGTGGTGTTCAATTTTTGTCCATTGCATTTTTCAAAAAATATGGGAAAATGAGGACAAAATGTCAAAAAAATAACGTGAAGGTCTGCAAATAGCGGCGGGAATGCAGAAAATTAAAAATGCAAACTGGAAGTGGGTAGGTCCCAAATTGCCTGGTATTTCAAATGCATTACACATTTCTTCCATATGTTTTTATCATTTCCACATGTAACATGGAGGCATAGAAGGCATATTTTTTGAAAATTACTGGAAAATCCGTGGCCTTCGAATAAATGTAAAGGTGTTCAATTTTATGGAAAAACAATAGAATACAAATAAAGATCTCAAATGGACCGCAAGAAGACCTCATATGAACCCTTCCGGGGTCCCCATGGTAAACCCCTTTTATGTACCTACATGATCGAATTTAAACACCCTTCTGCCACGGTTCCTGTCTAGCCCCCTTATGACCCTCCAACCATAATATAATAACAATCTACACATGTGTCATGTTGATTCTGATTGAACTGTGGAACCTGAGGTGTGGGATGGTTACATTTTTCAATCTTAGTTTTACCTTCTTTTTCGAGCACTTTTTGCAAGGAACTATGGGCCTTATGTATAGGATTGTTTCATTAAATCTTATGTTTACCGTCTTTTTTGAGCACTTTCTGCAAGGAATTAAGGACCTCAAGTGTGGGATGGTTAGATTTTTTTAATTTCATCTCTACCTTCTTTCTTAAGCACTTTCTGCTAGGAATTATAAGCCTCAGGTGTAGGATGGTTACATGATTCTATCTTATCTCCACCTTCTTTTTTGAGCGCTTTCTTTAAGGAATTAAGGATCTCAAGTGTAGGGTTTGTTTTTCTATTTCATCTCTACCTTCTTTTTTGAGCACTTTTTGTCAGGAATTATAGGTCTCAGGTGTAGGATGGTTCCATTTTTTTATTTTAGTTTTACCTTCTTTTTCGAACACTTTGCACGGAACTATGGGCCTCAGACATAACTTGATTACATCCACACAAACACACAAAAGACTAAGTTGGCTTGCGGACATTTAACCATTTTTGCCTCATAGCCTAAAGGGACGTGCAATAAAAGGCGCCCGGAGATCTCGCACAGTGGAGGTCCTAACATACAACACATTGCTCGCCACCGCCACAACTGTGACCCTGTTCAAAAAAAACAGGCAAATAAAAAAACACGCAAAAACAAAATTGAACATGAAGCTTCAAAAGCATTGACAAATGCTCCAAGGCTGCAAGAGCAGCAAATCTTTTTGACGCGGCCGCATCATCGACAATGCAAATTCCGAACCGGATAAGCTGCTGCCCACTTAAACCAGATCAATTTCAGAGGTGGGGAAACAATCAAAATTCACGATTATGTGAAACGTTTGATTTTTTTTTGCACGAAACACTTTGCATACTGGACGGGAAAAAACATTGAGAGTGCGTCATGCAATGGATAATATATTTGAATAACTGACATGAACAGCATGGAAACGGCACGAACGGACACAAAATTGTCAACATCCGCTGCGAAGGTGAGAAGGAATGACATTTCAGAACACGAAACCAACAGGACAGACTAGCAATGCTCAACATAGGTGCTGAAAAAAATTGATGAAATTTATTTCGGAAAGTCTATTTCAAAGGCGCTAAAATCGATTGTTTTAAACGAAGTCTTGACGCTTCATATGAAAACGATCAACAGTTTTTTCCCTCATAAATGCAAATGCCCCGCACGCAGCTTGCACAAGTGAAACGAAGACAGGTTGCTACCTTATTCCAAATCGCATACCAAGGCAGTACCCTTTCACACGTACGGATTGAGCCGTGCAAGAACAAATGGCGCTATGTGATATGGGTTTTAATAATTTGTCGGAAAAATGTTGTTTGGAATACAACAATTTTGGAAATTCCATGGTTTTGCCTAGCGAAAATCGTTAGGTGAAACAAGCGATAAAGTGGAACGTGACAAGGAGAAAACAGACCAGACCTTTCGATATGTGGGATGAATTGTTGGAACGTGATTTCAATAAGATTTTTCTGCGGCAACGGGCATTTGGACGCGATGTGCCTCGGAGTTTGTGGGTTTTGTCACTTCTGGAATTATGATTTTAGTTGCCAATGTTTTTCTCTCACGCAGAAGCAACCTGTGCCTTAAAGGGTGATCTCAAGGGTTGACGTCTGCTTCGGCAAGCCATGACTCGTAAACTATGACTATGACTCGTAAACTATGCTTCGTAAACCATGATCGGTAAATTATGCTCCGTAAACTATGATTCATAAACCAAAAGTAAAAAAACAATGCTTCGTGAAACGACGCCTCGACCATCGGATGGGTGGGATTTTGATATGACGTGTAAGATGTGACTTCCCATGTACTTGCCAGAGTGGGGGGAATTTTGATATGACGTGTAAGATGTGACTTTGCAGATGATTTTAGTTGCTGAAGTTTGGTTGCTGAAGTGAGAGTGAATTTTGGTCGCCGAAACGTAGTTGCTGAAGCGAGAGTGAGTTTTGGTTGCTGAAGCGTAGTTGCTGAAGCGAGAGGGGGGTTTGGTTGCTGAGCAGTGGTTGTGGAAGCGTAGTTGCTGAGCCGTAGTTGCTGAAGCGGTGTTTAGTTAATCTGACCTCAAGGCACACAGGTGGAAAGTAAAAGTGAGGTATACAAGATATTACTTTATTGTACATTGCATAAACAATATATATATATTATACATGGTACATTTTTTTAATTTGTAAATGTATGCTATTTCGATATAATATATATATATATACACATGTGTGTGTGTCCCACACCGTTGTTTAGAATCATATGGACACTTGGATTCTGCATTGCTAGTCTGCCTACAGAAAGGTGGGTCCAAAGGGCTCTACGTTGGAAACCTGCTGGTAGACATGTTGCAGGACATCCTCGACATAATTGGACATCAAAATTTCAATCTTGCACCAAGCATGGACAAATTGATGACTGGTATACCCTGGCATCCAACAAGGGATTGTGGACACACTTGATTGCAGATTTCGTAGTTTTTGCTTCAGGCCAAACTTGATGAAGAACAACGGGAAATTTAGGACAATTTCACAAATTCTTTCCAAGTTCCTGTGCCCAGTACGAGCTGCCCACGGGCATGCAAGATGAACCTTGAACCTTGAACCTATATGTATGTTGTATATATATATATATATATGTCTTATATGTACTTATATAATTGGATGATATTGTATTTATCTATATATTTGTAACCTAGCATGTTTTGAAGTTGCAGGTACATCAGCCAGGCAGACACGAGGGCAGTCCGCTGCAGAATGTGCTCTCATTCCGCTGTGCCTCAAAGAAGAGTCTACCATACCGCAAACATGCATGGCATGAAATGCATTCTTTTTTCTGAATACGTTTTTCGAACCGAAATGAAAAAATGCCCAAACAAAATTGTTTGAGGCGATTTCCTTTTAAGTGATTTCCACCTGGTAAACAAAATACGACGGTTTCGCAACACTAGTCGCAGTTCCGGGCGCTGCCACAAAAGGAAACTTGTCATGCATTGGTCAGAAAACACTTTCCGATCCTGCCGGGGTGAGTTACCTTGCGAATATCTTCCTGTTAGCGTGCCTTGGTCCCCTTGAAGCCTCACCGGCATGTGTTTTCTGAAAATGTCGGTGCGATCCACCCTGTTGATCAAGCCATGCACCTTAGACGTGCAGTCGGCTGCTGCTTGACCATACATTTCCAAGACGTGTAAAGAACGAGCGAACCATCTGTTTCGAATCTTGGTACCTCCCCAAGGTGACACGTTCGCTCCGTTGTTGTTTGCGGTTGTTTTACCAGCTAGTTGCCCAGTGTATGTTGAGATTGCGGGAGATGATGAGTCCCAAAGTATCTGGGTAGTTTCTTCACTTGTTGTGTTTGCGTTTTGCGTTCCCTGCGTTTCATAGAGGTCGCAAATGCGTTGTGCACGTTCAGCTAGGCCTTGCCAAGGTCTTTTTTTCGCGCAATCCATGGGGTCCAAGGCCGTTCTGCCAAACGCTTGCTTTGGACTTCCTATCGTGCGCGATGTGTGGTTAAAGCGACCACCGCTTCCCTTTCACTCGTCCGGGCGGTGACATCCGGTGACCCTAAGCACCATTTCGGTCAGGGTGATACCAGGGACAACGACCGCCGGTGCAGTAGCTGGGGACGAGTTAGGGTCAACCATGGTTTGCAATGGCTTTGCAATGTCGCTCGGGGACAAACTACTTGAAATGTCAAGAATCATCTTTACGGCTGAAATTTTGGGGCTAGATGATAGCCAGGAGAAAACATCTCAAGTTCTCCCTGTGCACACATGGGCTGGCGCCATCTGTCTTCAAATCTGCCGCTAACAAAAAGCACAAAAAAAAAACAATACAATCCAACTGCGGCCTGTCCGATTCTGCGAGTATCTGATCAATAAAACAGGACTACTATTCCAACTTTTAGTCCATCATAGCATGTATCACGAAGGATATTCCGGATTCACAATAAGCTGGTCAGCATTGATAGCATCAGCTTTTCCCAGAATCGACTGGACACACTGCAGATGTGCTTCAAGGGTTTTCATTATTCCTGTGACTCATTGGCTCACATCCCCATGTTGTTTGCCTCCACATGCTGAAGATTTATTTGTTCCTGCTTTGTAGATTCTCTGACTCTGTTCAAAAAACGTCGGGTGTCGTTCTCGCTAGTTGCTTTCTAACACTTTACACGTGGCTTTGTCGTCAGCGTCAGATCCACTGTTGGCAAGCTGAATTTCCCGGCAACTTCTCTAAGATTCCTTTGGCATCCTTCTGCAACCGATTTCTACCGGGGCAATCGATTGCGGCGATTTCATGAACGGCCCAGTACCGTACTGGATGCGCAAACATGTTTAGCTCGGATGATTGTGCGGTTTTTCGTGCTGAACCATGGGAAACCTTGTGTCCCAAAACTCAAAAAAGTGCGAAGCATTCTGACATAAATGTCAAGCTCTACAATTATATATATGATTATGTGAAATATGTGTGATAAGTGTACCTGACCAGTCACAATTAGTACATTAATATCAAAACACAAAGGGGATAGGTAGGTCAATGTTTCTAAACTGAAAGCGCTTCCAGGGAGCACAATTGAGACTACTTGCATATGCACTATACTTGCACAAACGCGCCCACAGAGAAGGCACGAGGAGTATGGAACTGGGCGCCATGTTTCAAAGCGCTTGTTCCGAAACTTGGGTGCAGCCATCTCTCTACCCGGGGGAACAAACTATAAGAAAACAAATTAGGGGGACAGGCAAAAAATCACCGTTTCCAACCCTCGAAACAAAGGTTTGGCCCCTGAAATGCTTTGTTTTCCAATCAAACACAAAGGTTTGGGGGGCTGGTTTGGAAAGAAAGGTAGAAACAAAAGTTTCAAAACCAGAGAAGTTGTGGAGTAAGTTTGCTTCAGAAGAGCCGGCCGCAGCGAGAGACTGCCCGGCATTTTCGTTGCGGAGCGGGTCCATGCTGTTCAGAAAGGTCAACAAACGGGTGATGGAAGGGAATTCATACTCTATCACAATGCCACGACCGTTAAAGGGAGCGGCACGTGAGTTTTCATTTCCAGAAAGGTTGTAAAATTGATTTCTTTTACGGTGAGTGTGCACAAACAAATAAAAATTCAAACCTATAGTTGGCGGAAAGGAAAACAAACGTTTTGAAACACGAGAAGGTTTGGCGAAAACAAAGGGTGTTCAACAATTGATTGTAACTACCTAAAAAAGATGTGTTAGTGGTTTCCAAACTGACCGCTTCCAAATTTGTTTTCAGTTTCGGTGTTTATCAGGGTCGAAAACGTGCCCTTCAAAGCCAAAAACGTGAATGTTTTGACCAATGCCTGTTTCCAGTGTGCAACACCTGTGCTCAGAAAATTATCCAAATCTGAGACGTTAGTTTCACTCTGTAAAACATCCTCCTCCTTTCCAAAAAGTTGTTTTGTCCTGAAAAAAAAGAACTGGAAAGCACTAGTCGGTGAGTTTGCCGCCAGGCTTGTATCATAACACCTAAATACATCGTGTTCGCACATGTTGCCGGGTCATCTCACAAAATGTCGCTGCAGTCCCTGTCGAAACCAAGAAATCTCGAGGATTTTGCCACTCGCGCTGGCTTGCTGGTCTGCAGTGTGAGAATCATTTGAGCAAACTGTACATTCTCCTACCACGGTGGTTCCGGGCAAATGTCTTGCAACAAAAAGACAGCGCCATCAATTCCCAACACCAAAAAAAACTATGGGAATATATTGGGAATGATGTTCTTTATCTGAAAATTGTGAAGGCTGAGAAGCTTGGGGAACAAAGCTGTAACAGCTACTTAACTTGGAACCACTGTCACCTCACTGGGCGACTCACATGGCTACCACGGCAATCCTGGGCTGTAAGCTGTAAGCTTCAACGACGGAGAACTGGGGTAATGAACTTCTGGACAGTAATCCTAAACAGAAAAGGGGTTCAGGATGGTTCAAGGATGCTGGTGGTGGTCTCTACCTCACAGTTTCACATAGGTTTCAACTTCTTTGCTTAGAGGGTTGCTCTTACTATGACATTCAGGTGATCTGAGCCCTGCACTGGCCCATGGGAAGGGTTTCGTAGCACATCCTGGTGCCGCTGGAAAACTCAGGGCATGGGACAATTGAAATACGGAAAATTGCAAAATCTTGTGGGTCCGATGGTATCCCAGTCTCAACCCATGGCTTATACCCAGAGACCAACTTCGCCTCGCTTCAGGAACTAGATCTACTAACTCGTTTGGCATTGGAAGTCTCAAACATCAGGATATCAGTGGGAATTTTGCCCCAGTCACAAACCTTTTAGCATCACTTCAGTTGCATGAATCATACCAGCTTCGCAACCCACGAGCGGACCCTCCAATCTGCACCACCGCTTCAGGGCCGGCAAGGCCCACCAATTTACCTGCATCAAATCTCCAGATGCGCATTTTGGCAGCTGATCTGGGCATATCTGGGCTATCTGAGGATCAAAAATGTTTGGGATCCTCAACAATTCTGAGTTCTGAATTAATATTTGTAGTTTTGGAGGAGGATATAGCCCATAAAGGAAGACAAATCAAGAGTCTCACAGTCTCACAGCGCCTGTGCAGCCAATACGGTCCCCGGCCACCACCTGCGAGATCATGGCAATGACAAGGGTTGCCCCATTGAAACAAGTGCCACATCCCGTGGTCTCCTCAGTTGCCCCCAGCCTTGACGGAGGAGCCAATTTCCGGCACCACCGGAATTAACGCCTGTGACGCATCGGTATCATCGGTGAAGGGACCCTAAAATTTTAAAAAGTAATTTTAAAAGAAAAAAAAAGTCGGAAACTCTGAGAGCAGCACCGAAAAGGGAAGCTCTTCCTCCACCACTTCAGTGGCTCCGTTCGCTTCCCGTTCTACCTGCACCTGGCAGGTCTCACCTGCGGGCTCCGGGGTGACATCAGGAGCGGAAGAATGTCCTTACTTCTCTCTTCACAAGGGAAAAATGGAGGGTTTCCTCAAACATGCTCCAACCTTGGTTGTGTATAAATTAAATATCTTGAAATATCATGAAACGACATGTTCGTTTTATTTATACCATTTTATACCTGCAACGCTGTTCAAGGCACAGCTTTGTTTCAGCGGTGCGCCTTTGACCTTCACAATGGCTCCGGGGAGCTCTGCGTCGCCACAGTCGCCACGGATCCGAACTGCTGCACCTTCGGTGAGCCAAGAAGGTACCTGGCATCCCACGAACAGAGGATAAATCGATATATATATATATCGGATAGGCTTGGAAAACGGTTAGGATGAAACAGGATGAAACCTGCCCAATTCTGAGATGTGCTGGACCCTCAAGTTATAACTCTAACATATCTAACATACTATGGGATTACTTGGATGTAGTTACTCTGGGTATCTTGGGGCATCATCCAAATCTTTGGCCAGCTCCCGAATTCAGCCCACAGGGGCACCAGCTTGGGCTTCTTCGCTGGCGGCCCGACGTCGACAAAGTCCGGAGGCTGTTTGGCCACGAAGCCGGAGAAGTTGAAGAAGTTGGGGTCCACTCCCGCGGCTTTGGCCTCAAGCAGAGGAGTCTCAGTTTTCATTCGGGATCTCATCGGTCATCAAAGGAAGGGACTTTCCAACAGTTTCCTGGGGCTTCCCCCATGTTTTCCCAAACTGGAAAGGGCATGTCAATGCATGTCATGTGTCCCCTCCTGCTGCGCTGCTGCCCCAGCATTGCCGTTGGGAGCCTGTGCAGGTTTAGCTTTCGCACATGGTGCCAAAGTTTTGGGGTTCTTTGGATTTGAGGATTGCCGCCCAGACTTTCGGCCGATGAATGGTTTCGCTCTCCTTCTGTTTGAAGAAACACAACTGCTTTCCTCAACTGTGACCGGTTGGAATGAGATTTGCCCCTGGAGTGATCCAACACTGGCAGAACCCAATCGAATCCGCACACCTTGATCTGCAGTGGATCATCTTCAGCCACATCTGGGATGGCTGCCGCAGCTGCGGCCACCTTCCAATTGCCAGCTTCATGGCAACATCTTGGACATTCATGTCCTTTATCATTAACCTACATCACCTGTGAATCATACAGTGTTGGCGACAGGGGGGGTCGAAATTTTTGAGGGCTGCGTAGCGCTGCGTAGCGCTGCGTAGCGCTGCGTGTGGGCTGCGTAGTGCTGCGTAGGGCTGCGTAGCGCTGAGTGTGGGCTGCGTAGTGCTGCGTAGTGCTGCGTAGTGCTGCGTAGCGCTGCGCTGCGTAGCTGCTGCGTGTGGGCTGCGTAGTGCTGCGTAGTGCTGCGTAGTGCTGCGTAGTGCTGCGTAGCGCTGCGTGTGGGCTGCGTATAGTGCTGCGTAGCGCTGCGTAGCGCTGCGTAGCGCTGCGTAGCGCTGCGTGTGGGCTGCGTAGTGCTGCGTAGGGCTGCGTAACGCTGCGTGTGGGCTGCGTAGTGCTGCGTAGTGCTGCGTAGCGCTGCATAGCGCTGCGTAGCGCTGCGTAGCGCTGCGTGTGGGCTGCGTAGTGCTGCGTAGCGCTGCGTAGCGCTGCGTAGCGCTGCGTAGCGCTGCGTAGCGCTATGCGGGGCTATGCGGTGCTATGCGGGGCTATGCGGGGCGATGGTGTTCCTGGGGATGCGTTTGATCGCAAAAAACGATGCCCAAGGCCAAATGGCCATTTGGCCTTAGGAAAGGCGTTTGGCTTCAAAAAAAACATTTGGCCATTGAAGATCTTCAATGAATGTAGAAGTTTAACGGGGGTGGGAGAATTAAACCCTTATTGAAGATCTTCAATGAATGTAGAAGTTTAACGGGGGTGGGAGAATTAAACCCTTATTGAAGATCTTCAATGAATGTAGAAGTTTAACGGGGGTGGGAGAATTAAACCCTTATTGAAGATCTTCAATGAATGTAGAAGTTTAACGGGGGTGGGAGAATTAAACCCTTATTGAAGATCTTCAATGAATGTAGAAGTTTAACGGGGGTGGGAGAATTAAACCCTTATTGAAGATCTTCAATGAATGTAGAAGTTTAACGGGGGTGGGAGAATTAAACCCTTATTGAAGATCTTCAATGAATGTAGAAGTTTAACGGGGGTGGGAGAATTAAACCCTTATTGAAGATCTTCAAATGTGAAAGTAGAATCGAAGGGGGTGGGAGAATTAAGTGAATGAAGTTTAACGGGGGTGGGAGAATTAAATTGAAGATCTTCAATGAATGTAGAAGTTTAACGGGGGTGGGAGAATTAAACCCTTATTGAAGATCTTCAATGAATGTAGAAGTTTAACGGGGGTGGGAGAATTAAACCCTTATTGAAGATCTTCAATGAATGTAGAAGTTTAACGGGGGTGGGAGAATTAAACCCTTATTGAAGATCTTCAATGAATGTAGAAGTTTAACGGGGGTGGGAGAATTAAACCCTTATTGAAGATCTTCAATGAATGTAGAAGTTTAACGGGGGTGGGAGAATTAAACCCTTATTGAAGATCTTCAATGAATGTAGAAGTTTAACGGGGGTGGGAGAATTAAACCCTTATTGAAGATCTTCAATGAATGTAGAAGTTTAACGGGGGGTGGGAGAATTAAACCCTTATTGAAGATCTTCAATGAATGTAGAAGTTTAACGGGGGTGGGAGAATTAAACCCTTATTGAAGATCTTCAATGAATGTAGAAGTTTAACGGGGGTGGGAGAATTAAACCCTTATTGAAGATCTTCAATGAATGTAGAAGTTTAACGGGGGTGGGAGAATTAAACCCTTATTGAAGATCTTCAATGAATGTAGAAGTTTAACGGGGGTGGGAGAATTAAACCCTTATTGAAGATCTTCAATGAATGTAGAAGTTTAACGGGGGTGGGAGAATTAAACCCTTATTGAAGATCTTCAATGAATGTAGAAGTTTAACGGGGGTGGGAAATTTATATTCCCTAAATACCCTTGTTGATCTCCCCAATTGAATGTAAAGTCTAACGTTTGATATCCCCAAGTGTACAGCATAGAAGGGGTGTGGGCGAATCGGGGTGTTTGCGCGTAGATTTACATATGCGACATGGTTACCCCCGAGCAGCACCCAAAAGAGATCATGATATATGCGGGGCTATGCGGGGCTATGCGGGGCCATGCGGGGCCATGCGGGGCTATGCGGGGCTATGCGGGGCATGCGGGGCTATGCGGGGGTGTGCGGGGGTGTGCGGGGCAATGCGGGGTCGGGGCCATGATGTCATCGTCAATGCGGCTATGCGGCGCTATGCGGCGCTATGCGGCGCTATGCGGCGCTATGCGGCGCTATGCGGCGCTATGCGGCGCTATGCGGTGCTATGCGGCGCTGTGCGGCGCTGTGCGGCGCTATGCGGCGCTATGCGGTGCTATGCGGCGCTGTGCGGCGCTATGCGGCGCTATGCGGCGCTATGCGGCGCTATGCGGCGCTATGCGGCGCTATGCGGCGCTATGCGGCCCTATGCGGCCCTATGCGGCCCGGTGAAAATTCATGCCCCCCTACTGCCTGCAATGGAATCATAGATGAACCATAGATGAAACATAGATGAATCATGACCCTTGTTGTCCATCCATACCCTTACTTCATACCTTACTGCACGGCCATCGGACCTCTGCCAATGCTTCTCGCATCAGCTCTTCCTCTTCATCCACCTCCACCGCGAGTTCCTTCGCGGGTTGAGCGACCCAAAGCCAGGATGATCTGTTCACATCTCGAAAGAGATCAGCTTGGGTTGTAGGGTTGAGGAGGTACCCTTTTTCATGTCATAAGGTGTGGGAAATTGGTGAGTACGAAGATGATGGCATTCAGAGCAGTAACTCAAAGTTTGTAACCCATCATCACCTCGATTGATAATTGCAAGCCATTAACTGAATCCGATAAACAAACCTGAAGAAACAGAGTCCCAACATCTTCAAATGGGTTCCATCTTCCATGTGAGTCTGCTCAAATGTACCCGGTTGCCCACTTCTAGGACATTGCTGCGGGTCTGCTTCTATTTTCTATATATTCTATGCGCCTACAGGGCCTACATGCTGCCCATCTACCCATCACCATCCATCACCATTTTCAGCCTCTGCCAGGGGATCTTCTGCAATGATGCCCAGTGCCACATGTCCTTGACAAATTTGACAACCACAAGTAACCACAAGCTGCACAGGATGTGCATGTGACCCTGTGACCCATCAAAAACCCACGAAGAACCCATGAAAAATGATCAAATCTCAACAGTTCCAGCAGTTTCGGGAGTTCCACCCTCAGAGCTTAGATGCACAGACCAAGTCTCGAAGGAACACTTGGTCTGGCATGAAGAAGAGCTCTGGAATCACTTGCCTTGGTGAAGGTTGGATCCACCGATTCGCCCATGAGATTTCGGCAAACAGACCCGAAAGAAGCCAAATCACTTTTGCAAGATTAGTTCATTTGCCCGGCGAAAATATCATGGGTTCAATACACCCATGTCCCATGTTGGTTGAAATCGTATCAGGCCATAGAAACAAATTCAGCCGAAGCTGCGCAGCTGCATAGATGGCACCCTCATCTGCCTGTCAATGTCGTAAGAAACAAGCGATGTAGGGCTGCAGAGTGTCCAACAACTCTAGCCCAAAAAACAACTCAAAAACTCTCAAAGCATTCTTTTTTGCAGGGAAAGGTCTGGTTCGGAGGTCCCTCATTTCAAGAAATACCCATGTCATGTTCTTCCCTGCTCTTTTTTGTCGCTTTTTTCACGCTCTCGCTTCACATCGATTGCCAACGCCTCAAATCGTGGAAACTGGGTCGGATGGGATCCAAGGATAGCAACTGGGACTCCCACTCCAGCGGTCTGGCTGTAGACATGTATTCTTGCCAGTCAAAATCGCGTGCAGAGTGGTTGAAGCCTTGCTATGTCATCGCAATTGATTTGTTGCAGATGTCTTTCCTAATGTTGGATCACTCTGCATCTCAAGTCATCCATCAAAGTTCTAGGACGGTCTCAAAATCAGGATACCCCAATATTTCTGTCCATTCGACAAAAGGGGAAAATGATGAGTAGCCATGGGATGGAATGGAGAACACAATTTTGAGACAACCCCATTTGTATCATATGTCATATTCAATGCAACTCCAATCTGCAAGAACTGGCAACTCTAAGACGTCCACGTTTCACCCAGCCGAAAAGCGTGGGGTCGCAATATGCTTCC